TAGTGGGTTTCAAATTTTTTTAGAACCTCTTCTGTAGGTGTGGCCTGCCTTGTGGGAGTGGCTTGCCAGCCATGTGATTGAGTGGGAGTGGTTTGCCAGCCATGTGACTGGGTAGGCGTGGTCAACTTGTAAAATGTGATGAAACTCACTTAACAACGCTCTTGCTTAGCAGCCAAAATGTTTACTCAGAAACTCTAGCATTTGAAGCACGCAAGTCTTAAAGCTGTCAAGTTACAAGACCCTTGCACCCCTAACCCTTTAGAAAAAACCCCAAGGGTGTTCAAACTTGACAGTTTTAACACTTGTGGACTTCAACTCCCAGAATTCCTCCTCCAGTCATGTTGACTCAGGAACTCTGGCATTGAAGTGTGCAAGTCTTAAAGCTGTCAAGCTACAAGACTCTTGCACCCCTAACCCTTTAGAAAAAAAACCCCAGGGATGTCCAAACTTGACAGTTTTAAGACTTTAAGGTTTAGATAGGACTCTTAGAGGCAGGCAGGGCGATTGGTGAGCCAGCCAATCAGTGAGCAGTGGGCAGGGCAAGCGTGGTGCGGACAGGCGGGGGGAGGGAGCTGGAACCGGTCCTAAACAGCATGGTAGATTTGTGGAGCCTCTTCTATAGAAGAGGTTAGAACTGGCAGGAACCAGGGGGTAGCCACATCTCTTACAAGACTGCACAGTATTTTAAAAAATAGCAAAAACACATCTGCTAGGCTTTTAATTGTTGATTGTTCAAATGACCCTGATTTTATTATTGCATTTTGTTTCACTGTCATTCCTTAAGTGTGCATACAGAGCAGGGGTGTCTAACTCAGGGCACTGGGGCCAGATCCGTGGCCCACGGGACTGCTCTGAAAACAGTGAAGGACTGGCCCGCAGTGCTTCTGCCAGTGAAAACAGGCTCCCGAGCTCCATTTTTGGCTGCCACAGCTTCCTGCAACCCTCTCTGCCAGTGAAAACAGAGAGTTCCATTTTCACTGGCAGAGGATCGCAGGATGCTATGGCAGCCAAAAATGGAGCTCGGGAGCCTGTTTTCACTGGCAGTGTGCTTGGGCCATCACAGGCACCCCTGACATGAGTGATATCGAGCTGGCCACACCCACCCTGGTCCCCAAGGTCAAACACAACCCTGATGTGGCCCTCAATGAAATTGAGTTGACACCCCCTGATATAGAGTGAATATATGAACAGGAAAAATATATATATAATGGAATGAATAAATAAGTAAATGAACAGGATTACAGATATGAGCTGCAGAATTAGGGGAAAAAAAACACTTGTGATGCCATTTAATGGTCTTTCAGGTTTTGTAGCCCAGATCTGGTAGCATAACTATCCCAGTTGTTCTTACCTCCCCAAAGGAAATTATTACCAGGCCTGTTTTTCCAGTGAAGCACAAAGGTTAAAAATCAGTTGTTAGAATAAATATGGCAAGAAAAATATAAGGGTTTGCTTTCATGTCTGTTGAGGTGTATAAGACATCATTTTAATTGCTCCTTTTTGCACTTTAAACTCCAGCTGCTGTGTAGTAATTTGCCTAACCCTACATTCTAACAGTGGTAATCAACTAAGAGAAGAATTACAGTTGGAGAAAAGTTAATTACTTTTTGCAGCTCTCCATGGTTAGTAGAACCCTAACCCTAACTCTAACCCTAACCCTAACCCACAACACTGTATGTCAAATTTCCTAATTTCAGCTGACATGCATATACTTCACTCTATCAAAAATTCTTGTTTCAGTTAGAACGTACATCTTGCTCTCGCTCTCGCTCTCCTTCTGTCTCCAATAAAAGATCTGGCCGGAATGGTCTTTCTTCTTTGCTGCTTTCTACTCTATAAAGTTTTTCTGTAGCGGGAGAGAAAATATGCAATAATAACATAAAAAGACAATGGATATGCTTGCCCAATCTGGGGAAACTCCCATTAAACTCCTCCTCTTTGGAAATAATAGAATTTGAAATCTAATATATTTGGAGGATACACAAAGGAGCAAGAGCATGAGAACAGAAGTGTTGTTGGTAAACAGAAACCATCAAGGAAATATTTTATAAATAAAGGTAGTCTCAAACCTAGCTCTGAATAAACCTGCTCATTCTTTGATTTAAAAAAACCCTATAGACGGTGATTTTTCTATTTGTGAAGTATGCCAGAATAAAATTCCTTCTAGGGTAAACAGAGGAATCAAGAGCAATTGATGCATATTGTTACTACATGCAGTATATACAGCAATAAGGAAACAGCATGATGTTGGCAGTAAACCAGTGGTGGGTTGCTGCCGGTCCTGATCGGTACGGCCATACCGGTAACGGCCTGGAGCAGCTGGGAACGTACTGGTACCGTGGCTCGTTTGGCCCACCTGCCCGCCCATGAGCTATAGCTGTATTTATAGCAAAAGGCATACTGCGCGCGGGCACAGCGTGCAGAGCCTGCACGCCCCTGACAAGCAGCTGGGTGTTGCAGGGGCGGTGGCTTGTGCATGCATGCGCAGCACACGTCAGGTGTGTGCACAGCGCATGTCAGGCTCATGCATGGACAGACCACAATCAGCGTACCGGTAGCGACAGTAAGAGCAACCCACCACTGCAGTAAAGCAACTTTCTCCAGATGTGCTAAAGTAAAAGCTAAACGTAGAAGTCCCAATTATAGATTTCCTTTAAAAAGTTATTTGACATTTAAAATAGTATGCCTTGGTTTGCAGAAGAAAGTGGCACCTCTAGTAAATTCCTTTGGGACCAGAAATTTTCCCTATATGTGAGTTGGATGGCTATGTAGATGCTTCATCACTGGAGGTTTTTAAGATGAGACTGCATAGCCACCTGTCTGAAGTCGTATAGGGTC